TCTACTTACTTTAAAAAAAGAAAGAAAGAGAAGTGCACAAGTCATATGTATGCAGCTCAATAAATTATCAAAAGTAAACACACTCATGTAACCATCACCAGATTTTACCTTTTGTTTATCTTGAAGACGATTTTCTTTCATCCTTTTTACAGATTTTTTGAAAAACTCAGTAACACTCTTTGGAAACAGAGATATATTCAATGCTTCAAAAACTGGGGTAAAGAATGGAAAGAGTGCTGTAGAGAAAAAAGGAAATCACAATGAAAATACAAAATGTACCTGGAGCAATTATAATTTTGTCTACCTATCAGAAGAGTAAAAGACACCAGGATACTCCACAAGAGAAAGACAAGTAGTTACTCACAAGGGAGCTCCCATAAGACTATCAGCTTATTTCTCAACAGAAACTTTGCTGGCCAGAAGGAAGTGGAAGGAAATATGCAAAGTGATGAAAACCAAGGGCCTATAACCAGGACTACTCTGCCCAGCAAGGTTATCATTTAAAATTGAAGGAGAGATAAAGAGCTTCCCAGGTAAGAAAAAGTTAAAGGAATTCATTATACCAAGCCAGTATTACAGAAATGTTAAAAGAACTTCTTAAAGCCCAAGAAAGGAGAGAATAAACAAATTAATGAAGATAAAAAATATGAATAATAAAATGGCAATAACTACAAACCTTGCAATAATCATTTTAAATGTAAACGGATTAAATGTTCCAATCAAAAGACATAGGGTAGCTGAGTGGAAAAGAAAACAAGACCCATGCATATGCTGTCTATAAGAGGCCCACCTCAGATCAAAAGACACATACAGACTGAAAATAAAGAGATGGAAAAAGCTATTACATACAAATGGAAACACAAAAACAGATAGGGTATCAAAACTTATATCAGATAAAATAGACTTTAAAACAAAGACTGTAATAAGAGACAAATAAGGACATTACATAATAATAAAGGAATCAGTCCAACAAGAGGACATAACCCAAGTAAACACCTATGCACCCAATNAGCCCATGATATTCAAAGTTTAGAGCTGTGCTGTTCAATATGGTAACCACTAGCTACATGTGGCTATGAAATTTAAAATTTAATTCATTAAAATTAATACAATTTAAGATTAAGTTTTCAATTGCACTGGTCACATGTCAAGTGCTCAACAGACACATGTGTCTAGTGGTTACTATATTAAACAATGCAGATATAGACTTTTCCCTTCATCATGGAAGGTTGTATTGGACCATGTAGATAGATGATAGATAGATAGATAGATAGATAGATAGATAGATAGATAGATAGATAGATAGATAAAACAGAAGGAAAGAAAGAAAGAAAGAAAAAAGAAAGAAAGAAAGAAAGAAAGAAAGAAAGAAAGAAAGAAAGAAAGAAGAGAGGGAGAGAGAAAAGTTGAGATATAAATATATTTATACTGGTGTACTAGAGTCATCTATACCTGCTCTCTGTAACCAACTATGAAATATTCAGGAATTTTGTGAGATGGTGTCTAGCCATTGGTAGTTTGAAATTAACCATAATGGGAGTATTTATAACATGGAAATAAACTGTAATGCATGGATTTTTCTTTTTTTGAGAGAGAGAGAGTATATGTTTATCAGAGCTATGAAAATATATTTGATATTCTTAACTTTGTTCACTGAGAGGATCTAGACACAAAGAAACCTTAGTAGTAACGGGGATTCCGAAATCAAGATTTTGATACCAAATACTATATCTCACTAAAATTAACCAGAGCTCCTTGGTGAAATGGCTGATTCTAGGGCTGATCAGGGGAAATATAGAGAAACCTAGAATGCCTCAAATGAGAAAGCAAGGGAGTGTTCACAAAATGATAGGTGAAAAGGATACAGGACACTCTGTATACTATAATGGTGGCCATATGTCATTATACATTTGTCAAAACCCATAGAATGTACAACACCAAGAGTGAACCCTAATGTAAACAATGGACTTTGGACGGTAATCATGTGTCAATGTAAGTTCTCTGGTTATAACAATTGATCCATACCTATGAGGGATTTTGATAGTCAGGGAGGCTGAGTATAGGTGGAGTGGGGGTTACATGGGAAACCTGTGTCTCTTCTCTGCAATTTTGCTGTGAACTTTAAACTAATCTAAAAAATAAAGTCTATTGAAAAATTTTAAAAAAAGAAAAAAGGACTGCAAAGCCTACTTGAAAGGTCTCTAAGTGGACAAAGCTGAGAGAATTTTACCATAAAAAAAAAAAGAATGCTGGAAGAGAGTAATTGGTAATATATGAGATAATACTAATATAAATAAGTACACAAAAAATAAACGAGGAAGAATGAAGAGCTCTCCCTTACAATGGAACATCAATGCATAAATGTAG